GTGTGTGTGTGTGTGTGTCTCTCAGTGTGTGTGTGTATGTGTCTCCCAGTGTGTGTGTGTGTGTATGTGTCTCCCAGTGTGTGTGTGTGTGCTCTGTGCAGCATGTTTTGTCTTTATATGGTTTCCAGCTCATATTTGTTTAACGGTCGTACGACACGGAGAACCCCCCCCCCCCCCCTCCTCTTTTACTATTTCTCCTCTCGTCTGTTTTCACATCACATCTGTTTCTTCTGCTTCACAAAGTTTCAGCAATAACAGAGAATTTAACATAACATGAAAAATGTGAAAATAAGACTGAAACTCGTCTCCACATGATGTTTAAATAAAGTTGGGACACAATGAAAGAGTCAGTGTCTCATCAACGGACGAACCGATAACAAACAGGAAGTGACCAAAGTTTGACTGAAAGTAAAAACACAGTCGAGTTGATGTTTCATTCATGTTCCCATGTACATGTGACACACGTCTGTCTGCTGCCCCCTGCTGGACGTGTCGGTGCAACACACTGGTCTGTGTCAACCCCTGATGAACGTGCAGTCACTGCCGACCCCGTCCAACACCTGGAGCTGTCTGAGTTTAGTTTCACACATTTTTAGAGTGAAACCCTGGAAACATGTGGAACCTGCAGAGATGTGATTTGTTCCTGTCGTTGACAGTGGAGGTGTTGAGGAGAGAGAGAACCTAAAACAACCGGAAGCTCAATGACGACAGTGACGTGTTTCCAGGACGTTTCTTTAAGTGTCTGTCATGTGATTAAAAAAGTCAAAGACCCTTTTCCACCAAACTGCACCTGGTGTTGGCGCTAACCCTAACCAGTTTGCTGTTCTACAGGCTGCAGTCACATCATGACGTCACTGAATGCATCACTTTATACGTCTCTGATTTCCCAGCAGGCTTTGTTCATGAAGCTCCTCTAGTTTGTTCTGCTCTTCAGCTGCGACCACAGAACAAGGGATTCAACTGGTTGACACACGGATCATAGTTATAGAGGAAACATTATCCGCTATTGGTGTCACACACAGACACACACACAGACAAACACACACACAGACACACACACAGACAGACAGACACACAGACAGACACACACACACACAGACAGACAGACAGGTCTTACTGTGGACACTGAGCCTCCATGTTGCAGAGTCAATGGTCGGACCATCAGCTGTGGTCAGCTGACACCTGTACATCCCTTGGTCCACATGTCTCACCTCCTCTACAGTGAGGGTCAGACCTGGTCCTGTCCTCACTGGTATCCCGTCCTTCAGCCAGGTAACCATGGCAACGGCAGCAGACGAGACTGCGAGCATGTGACAGGAGAGATCAGGACAGAGGCGGCCTCTATAGGCTGGAGATGGTCATTACACCTGATAATATGAGGCCTGTCTGTAACACTGAGATTGGCAGGTTTTATTGACCTTGGCATGTGAAGGTCACCTGTCCTCCCTCTGTGGCCTCCTGGTCCAGAGGAACGGCCTCAAACCGCAGGTTGGACCCCGACACTGACCTCTGCACAGCCCTGAACCACAGACAGGAAGTCAGTGGAGCTCAGGGAACAGACAGACGTTAAAATAAGACACTGAACAACGATTCGTGGATGATATTATAAGTATATAAGGTTAGTGAGCAGGATAATTCAATAGAAAGTTGAAGCACCACCTCCTGCTTATATGAACCAACAAGGTCACAGTGACCTTTGACCACAAAATGAAAGAGTTCATCTTTAAATGAACATAGAAAGTGAGACTTCATGTCACAGTGGAAAATAATAGTCATCCTTAATATCAATGTTAAATAGAGACAAATACAGCTTCTAACACTGGGCAGCAATCATTACAACAGCTAACGTTAGCGTAGCTTGTTTTCTGCACCTGCTGCTGTCTGAACCGGCGTGTCCTGGAGCAGGAGGGAGGATGGACTGAGCCTGCAGAGACAAACTCTTCAGAGACAAACTCTTCAGAGACGAACTCTTCAGAGACAAACTCTTCAGAGACGAACACTTCA